GGTTTGCTAGTGCCGGGGTAGCCGCAGGGCTTTGAGCTCCTGCAGCTGAAGAGGGGAGGCGGGAGCAACGGTAACGGGCGCCTCGAGGCGCCGGTTCGGTGGGGAAGTAGGTAAGGGTTGGGCTCGGGTAGTCCGCACGGGCTGCCGAGGTACCGGTATATGGAAGAACAGATTTAAGACTGAAAAAAATCGCCGGAAGGGCATGTTAGCTTTTCTGCAGTCCCCCGCTGTAACTTCTCGTGCTGCGGTTTCTTACGATGGCTGCTTAGCGTGAAACCCAGCTTGGAGGTAACGAACACTTCGTTGTCAGACCCGCTCTGCCGTACCGAACGTCCCTGCGTTCCCGGGCACAGCCTGTCCTCTTCGCCGCCTTCCCCTTTCTCCGCCCCATAGGGAATATGCTCGAGCGGGTAATCGATCGCCCTGAAGTTACGAAAATTCACATGGCAATATTTAGTCGTTGCACAGAAAAGGTAATTGTTTGGTAAATCGAACAAGGGATTTGCCGTTAGGCGTTTGGCTTTCTAGAACCTGTTCTTATTTCCTGTGGTCGTTTGGAGAAGTCCCCTAGTTACATTTCTTCAGTTCATGTGCAGTTTCCCCATGAATGACAAAAGACTCGATGGCGTTTCTGTGTTCTTCTAGGTCATCGCACGATGTAATTTAGTGTTATTAGGAATAGCACACAGTTGATGAGTTCAGAAAACACTGAAAACATTTTTTGACTGAATTATGTCTCGGACTAAATCACCTATTTGATGTACATTAATTTTTTAACAGTGGGAATAAACAGATATACTTCTGTAACCATAAGTGTAATCTAGCCTGATAAATTATGGTGGTCCGGAGTCACGTGCTGGTGGCTAATTTTCTGCAATATCGAAATTATTGTCTTTATAGTTTTTCAATAGGTAATCTCATCTAATTTTACAGAATGGTTGTATTTTCTAGTTATTCCTTTACACTGTTCTCTGATGCTCACTTTCCTTTTTTTTTTTCCCCCCCTGATCTTCTAGGGTCCAAAAAAGAAGAAAAAGGTAGGTAGGCAGAAACATGCTCTAGTTCGCATACAGCATTTTGACCCTTGCAGTGTTAATTTAGATAGTGTGCAATGACAGTTCTGTTATTTTGGAAATTATGTGAGTAAAATTACAAAGCACTTCATACTGAAATTAAAGTAAGCATTAGTTACTTCTGGACTTGACGTCTACAAAACGTTATTTTTAAGAGGCTCTGCCATAATAAAGGTGCTGTGACACCGTAATTGTATGCAGATGTGCTTTTTAAAAAGAAAAGGTGGGGGTTTTTTGTTTTTCAATCTGTATTTCTTCTGAGCCAGTTGGTCAGGCTCAATCAAATTTGAAAGAGGAACAGGCGTCTCCAGGCCACTAAGCTTATGTGCCTTTTGCGAGGAGGCCGAGTCGTGTTCCTGCAGAACTGCTAGAGAGAAGGTGGCGAGCGCAGCCGCTGTGTGTTTTGCTTGGCGGCGAATGTCCGGCTAGAGAGCCAGTGTCCTGGCTTGGAGCTGCAAGCTGGACACAGAATGTGATGGGTAGGGGGGACAACAGACAGAAGTCCACGGGAAACTGGATTGCATAAATTCATGCCCGTGGATTTTTCTTAGTTCAGTGATAATGAAATTATCCACCCCTCCCTCAAAAAAGAACATGTTCAAATGTATTCCTTGGAGAACTGTGCATCTCAAATTTCTCAGTGCTATGTTAAGTCGTAAGAATGTGAAAAGAAGTTGACTAAAAAGTGATTATAAGTAATTGAAACAAGCAGATTTTCCATTTTCACTGGAAGAAAAGTAATCAAAGATGATTATTTTTTTTTTTTTCTGAACTGGAAGGAATCGATTCTTCCCTGAAATCTTAATGGGTAGAATTGTGGTTTTTACTGACTCTGTTCTAGGAGAAATTTGCAAATAAATGCTTTGGTAACAAATGTGGTAAGATGCACGCTCGCTCTGGTGGGTGTACGTTTGTTGTTGGCACTAAATTTTCACCATTGTTTTTGTTCAAGCTTCGTGATAACCTTTGTGTTCAAAGTTGCATTTATGTATATATTTATTGCCATGCAAAGTAGTGTAAAGTGAATAGCTTTCCAAGTGGTTATTTGTATCTGAAAATAGACTAGTCAGAAGCAAAATGTGAAATAACAGTATTTGTAACACACTGTGTGATGAATGGCGAAGGTTCTCCCTGATTATTTCTAAGTTCCCTATCAATTGGATTACTTGTAACAATATTTACCAAATTATTAGGAATACTCGGGTGGAGCGGGTAGGAAGACCTCATTATACCATCGCGTTCATTTGCAACTGTCTGGACTTAAGTCCTCTTTTGTTGCCCCTCCCCATCAGCTTTGTTGGACCTCTTTCTTTATTGCCTCATTTACACCTCTGCAGGATGGGCACTATGCTACTGTGCTGGTTTGGGACCATTCGGTACCCATTTCTCTGCGGAAGAGAAGGATTGGATTCCTAACACATGCCTTTGATCCTTAGTGTTTATTTACGTCGTGACACCGTCCAATTATATTCTCTTGCTGAGACTGTGGATGAAACTCCTACTGGTTTAGTCGTTTTACCTCACCTGACTGAATCCTTGTAAGCCCTTGTCTCTCACCAGTGATGGCATGGGGACTTGGGATTCAGCGCTCTGATGTGCGACATCCAGGTTAGATGCCTAGGTGGAGGATGTGTCTCCTCCTCTTTTCACATTGCCTCGCACTCTGAACCAATTTACATTCCATATTTTCTCTGTTTTGAAAAAGTAAACGTTTGATTTTATTTAAGTCTCTTTTCGTTTGTGTGTGTCAGTGGCAGAATACCGTTGTTCAGCCAGTACGTAGATACACCACCAAATGCAAGTCATTTGTTTTCCTTGACATCTTGTCTTTTGTCATCCATACCTTTGCTTTCAACCTTAGTTTAGGCTGCTGTCACTCTTTGTTTTTTCTGTATGCTGGAGCCTGTGCAGAATATCATGGTTTATTTTCTCACATGTGCAAAAAAAAATAGCCTTATCTGTCCCACTTATAAACAATAATGTTGGCTGTGAATTAATTTTGCAGTTCAGTACAAAATCAGCCTCCTTGTCTTTACAAGCTCCACAAACTTGTTTTGATTTACTTCCTGGCCCATCTTTCTCCCCCTGCGCCCCTCACCTCCCCCCCCCTTTTTTTTTTTTTTATTTTTTTTTTTCGGCCTTTTTGCAGCACCTGCCTTCAGGAACAGCACTCCTCCCTGGTATCGTTCCATCAACCCCAGATGGAGTCAAAGCACATTCACTGCGAGCTTATTACGCGTGCAATACAATGGCAGGGTTACCTGTGTAAATGCTGAGTAAAACTGAATAAAGATAATTTAGGCCTTAGTAACTATGCGCTTGGTGAGGATTACAACCTTAGGCTGCTTTTGCTACTGAATTAACAGGAAATGAGTGTTTTCCTCTTCTGTGTCTTTAAGTGCTGTTTTCTAGTGACAGTGCTGATCCTACAGGTTTGATTAAATGTCCCAAGACTGTGTCGACACAAAAACCAAACAAAATTATAATAAAAAATAAAACCCATCCAAGAATCTTTCTTTTTGCTGGTGAGGTAAAAAGTGAGGGGCCATTAGCAAACATCTTCAAATCCAAAGAGAATTACGCTTTCCACATCCTAGCTGTTCAAGTCTCTTGAAGGCAACGTGGCCTCATGTGCACAGCTCCAATTATCAGATTTTTGTATGTATCATCAGTGAGGAATCTATGAATTACAGGACAAAAATAAGTGTTCTATTT